CTCTTGGAGGACTAGGAATATGGAGGAATACTAGTTGCCTGGGCTTGAATGATGATCCATGGGAGTAGAAATCATCCCTGGACTAATTCGCATAGGACTGCACTGCTCTGCAGTTCCGGTCAGTGAGCTTGAGGCAGCTCTCATGACAGCTGAGGTCATTGTTTTAACAGTTAACAAGTTGAACTCTCATTGTTGTTGAAGAACCCTCCATATCTCCTGTATGTGTGGGCTGTTCAGATTAGACACCTACTCCTGTGTGAGCAATTTGGGGTATCTCCTAGAGTTGGAAAACTTTTGGTTGAGACCTGAAAACAGAGAAGTTAGCCAGGCTGGATGGGAAGAGGGACAGATGATTTCAGGAGGAAGCTGCACAATTAAAGGACAGGGGCAGCTGGGTGCCAGTGGCTCACATCTGTAATCTTAGCTTCTCAGGAGGCTGAGATCCTAGGATTGTAGTTTGAAACCAGCCAGCACAGGGAACGTCTATGAGACTCTTATCTCCAGTTAACCACTAAAAAGCTGGAAAGAGTTGTGGCTCAAGTGGAAGAGCACCAGCCTTGGATAAAAAGCTAAGAGGACAGTGCCAAGCCCTGAGTTCTAGTCCCTGCACACGCGCGTGTACACACACACACACAGAGGATGGGGTGGAGACCTGAGTGTGCTTAGAGAGAGCACAGCATACTGGATGTGATCAGTCACTCTCATCTTTTTCCCTTGAAAGGGGAAATGTGGGCTGGGAACGTGGCTTAGTGGTAGAGTACTTGCCTAGCATGCATGAAGGCCTGGGTTCAATTCCTCTTACCACATACACAGAAAAAAGCCAAAAGTGGCACTGTGGCACAAGTGGTACAGTGCTAGCCTGGAGCAAAAGAAGCTCAGGGACAGTGCCCAGGCTCTGAGTTCAAGCCCCAGAACTGGCAAAAATAAAATAAAAAATAAAAAGGGAAATGTAGCCTATCATTGTGGCTTATGCCTATAATCCTAACTATTCAGAAGGCAGAGATCTGAAGATTGTGGCTCAAATTCAGTCAGAGCAGACAAATACAGAAATCCTTAGCTCCAATTAAACACCAAAAGGTCAGATATAGAGTTGTGTCTCAAGTGATAGAGCACCAGCCTTGGGTAAAAAAGCTAAGGGGAGGGGCTGGGAATGTGGCTTAGTGGTAGAGTGCTTGCCTAGAATGTATGAGGACCTGGGTTCCATTCTTCAGTACCACATAAACAGAAAAAGGCGGAAGTGGAGCTGTGGCTCAAGTGTTAGAGTGGTAGCCTTGACAAATGAAGCTCAGGGACAGTGCCCAGGCCCTGTGTTCAAGCCCCAGAACTGGCAGAAAAAGAAAAAGAAAGAAAGAAAAAAGAAAAGGAAAAAAAAATGCTAAGAGACAGTGCTAGGCCCTGAGTTCAATCCCCAGTACCAGCACCACATATACACACACACACACACACACACACACACACACGGATATGGCTAGAAGTTTGGCTCAGCAATACAGCATTTGCCTAGCAAGTGAGAAGTACTGAGTTAAAATACCCAGAAGACCCCAAAAACCATCTGTTTTAAAGGAGGGAAATATAAGACTGATCACTGCTCAACCCTGTTTACTTGTGAGGGAGCTTGGAGGATCACAAATGAGGCCATCTGGGCCTAAAAGTTCAAGAGACCATCTCAACCAATGGCTGAGGCATGGCTCAAGTGGTAGAGTGCCTTCCTAGTATATGTGCGGCACTAAATTCAATCCTCAATACCAAAAAAGAAGGGAAATGTGAGTCGAGCTGTGGTGCCTTGCACCTGTAATCCCCGTTACTTGGGAATTGGAGATTGGGAGATTTGAGGTCACCCTGGGCAAAAAGTTATCCCTCCCTCCTTCCCAAGGGCGTCACTATGGAGCCATCTCCCTGTACAGGCCAGCTTATTCAACTTCCTAGTTTACATCTCTAACTCAGCCTCTTCCTGGACTTTCAGACTCAAGTATTGAACTAATTTCCTTCCTTCCCACATTGTGTTACGTCAATACATTCTGTGGGTCAAGAGTTCAGACAGATCCTAGTGGGAATGGTTTGTTTCTGCTACACAATGTCTGAGGGCCAAACCAGAAACTAGCTATTAATGCACAGGTAGGGGCGGAATGTGGGCCCCGGCCTAGGCTAGGATGACTTAGTAGTACTATTGTCCACTCATTCATTTTTTTTTTCATGCCTCAAGAATTACCATCATAAACTGGGTACCGTGACTCATACTATAATCCTAGGTACTTGGAGGCTGAGATCCAGAGGATCATGGTTGGAAGCCAGCTTGGACAGAAAAGTCCAAGACTCCATTTAAAAAATAACCACTATCGGTAGAGTGCTAGCATTGAGCTGAAGAGCTGAGGGACAGCACCCAGGCCCAGAGTTCAGGCCCCACGACCGGACCCAAAAACAAACAAACAAAAAATAACCACTATCCTTACTACCTCAAAAAAAAAAAGTCATCTGCCTACATCTGCCATCTCAATTACTTATGAGACAGAGATCAGGATGATTTGAAGTCAGTCAGGGCAAAAAAATTTAGTGAGACACCATTTCAACTAACATGCTGGGCATAATGGATCATCTTGGTCATCTCAACTATTCAGGAGGCCATAGTAGGACGATAGTGGTCCAGTCTGACAGTGGAAAAAGCTCTAGACAGAGGAACAAAAAAATACCCACAGGCACTAGGCTAGGGTTAAAGATGAAAGCATAGATTGTAAGAGACAGAGATATTGTAGTAACCAGCTTTTTTTATTCCTTGATAACCCTCACTTCTAATCCTGAATCTCTGGCCTCCAGAAAGAATGCTGTAGACCTGGTCCTGGCCACAGCTGAAAAGTATCCTCACCTCTATGATCTTTGAGCATCTGTAAACGGCCACCTGCAGGTAGTTCTGACTGATATAAACTCTGTCGCACTGTAGGCTGGGGCTGTTCTTGGTCCTCCCTGGACGAGGCAGTTGCTGCCAGCCAAATAAAATTCCTTGTCACCTTTGCCTGTGCCTCCGTGGATTTTCTTGACTCCAAGGTCATACAATACCAGGAGATTTGAGGGGAGAAAGAAGAGGGTTTGCTCAGCTTCTGGTCTTCCTGAGGCCCTGTTGGTCTCTCCTGGGTTCCTCTTTTTTTTTTTTAAACTTTTTTTGGGGGGTCCGGTTGTGGGGCCTGAACTCTGGGCCTGGGCACTGTCCCTCAGCTCTTCAGCTCAAGGCTAGCGCTCTACCACTTGAGCCACAGCGCCACTTCCAGCTTTTTTCTTTTTGCTTATGTGGTGCTGAGGAATCAAACCCAGGGCCTCATGCATGCAAGGCAAGCGCTCTACCACTGAGTCACCTTCCCAGCCCCTGGGTTCCTCTTTTAGCAACATTTTTCCTCTTTGCTTCTCTTGAAGGGATCTCTCCCTTGTAACTATAGAGCCTAAGAATATTTGCCAGGTTCCCTGCTTCACTATACGCAGTTTAATTTCTTTGGCTGTGTTTTGCTAGAGTAGAGCAATTATGTAAAAATTTTGTCTTGCGAGGCCATTGCTTTCCTGCTTCCAGGAATCTTTTGGCCTGTGTCTAGTTTCTGGCTGCTGGCTTCTTCAGTTCTAGCTCTGGGATTAAGGAGGAAAAGGCAAATCCAGGGATCTCAACACTGGGGCCCTGACCTGGCTCATCTTCTCTCCATGCTTCAGAGTCGTCTTATTTTATTTAATTTTTTTGCCTGTCCTGGAGCTTGAATTCAGGGCCTGGTTGCTATCTGCGAGCCTCTTTGTACTCAGAGCTTTTCCTGAGTAGTTTAGTAGTTAGTCTCATGGACTTTCCTGCCTGGCCTGTCTTTGAACCATGATCCTCAGATCTCAGACTCCAGAATAGCTAGGATTACAGGTGTGAGCCTCTAGCACCCAGCTTCTTATTTTATTTTTGTCATATATAAATGCCCAAGGCTTTAATTTATATTAACAGGGAATAGAGAAAAGTAAGTCTACTGCATTTTCCCAGAAGTGGGTTTTGTTTTGTGTGGCTTGGTTTATTAAGTTTATTAACTCAAGATCTTGCCACGTAGCCTGGGCTGACCCCAAACTCTTAATCTTCCAGCCTCTAATTCCCAAGTGCTGGGATTATAGGCAAGAACAACTACACAGAGCTAGAAGCAGCTTTTTAAAATTTTTTTCTGTCAGTCTTAGGGCTTAAACTCAGGGACTGGGTGCTGTCCCTAGGCATATTTTTGCTCAAGACCACTTTGAGCTATAGCTCCACTTTTGGGTTTTTCTGGTGGTTAATCAGAGATAAGAGTCTCACAGACTTTCCTTCCCTAGGCTGGCTTTGAACCTTGACCATTAGATCTCAGCCTCTTAAGTAGCTAGGATTACAGGCATGAGCTGCTAGTGCCTGGCCAGAAGCATTTTCTTTCTTTCTTTCTTTTTTTTTTGGGGGGGGTCCAGTCGTGGAGCCTGAACTCTGGGCCTGGGCACTGTCCCTCAGCTCTTCAGCTCAAGGCTAGCACTCTACCTCTTGAGCCACAGCACCGCTTCTGGCTTTTTTCTTTTTGCTTATGTGGTGCTGAGGAATCAAAGCCAGGGCCTCAGGCATACAAGGCAAGCACTCTACCACTGAGCCACCTTCCCAGCCCCAGAAGCATTTTCTTAATTTTTTTTAAAATCAGTTGTGGGGCTTGAACTCAGAGCCTGGGGGCTGTCCCTGAGGCTCTTTGAGCTCAAGGCTAACACTCTACCATTTGAACTATAGCACCACTTCCAGATTTGGAGTGGTTAATTGGAGCTAAGAGTCTCACAGGGGCTGGCTTCCAGCCACAATCTTCAGATCTCAGCCTCCTGAGTAGCTAGGTATAAGCCACCTGTGCCTGGCTAGAAGCATTTCTTTCTTTCTTTCTTTCTTTCTTTCTTTCTTTCTTTCTTTCTTTCTTTCTTTCTTTCTTTCTTTCTTTCTTTCTTTCTTTCTTTCTTTTTCAGAAACAAGGACCTTTAATAATTAGAATACATAGTGAGCGGCAAGTGCCAGATGTCTCCTGGAGTCAAGGAACTTTCTTTGTTTTCCTGCAAAGAGCCAGAATCATCCTCTGGACCAAGGAGCAAGTATGAAGGTCACACTGCCCCAGTCAGGACCAAAAAAGTCATAGCAATCCATGCTCAGCTCACAAGCCCCAAATAATCATCCATCAGGGAGCCAATAGCAAAAATGTCATTCTTGTCCACGCGGGTCCCTACAATTTTCAAGCGGATCTCGTCATCCCGCTGAATCACAATGTCCTCATCCGTTGTCTTGTAACAAGGTGGGTTGGAGTTTGGATCAAACTCCATCTCTGATGGGATGGAATGATGGGAGATAAAGGAAGACATGGGCCCAATTTCAGTGAAAAGTCCAACCTTGTTCACCTGAGTGACCACAGCATCCACAACTTCACCTTTAAAGGGCTGGAAAACAATGGCTTTGTACTTAACTGGATAAAGGACAAAGCCTCGCCCAGGTTGGATCACACCTGCACCCATATTGTCGATGGTGGTGACAGCAATTACAAAGCCGTATTTCCCGGTGCACGTCCCCTCCACCTCCGTGAATAGCTTTTGCTTCACCGTGTTGAGCAAGTTAGGGTCGAAGTACCGCGGATGCAGCAGGATCTCGTGCTCCAGGGAGATGTGGTAAAACATCCTCCCGGCGGCGGAGGCTGGACTTAGAAGCATTTCTTTAAAGAATAAATTTTATAGTTTGACTGCTTCCCTTCTCTCCAAAATTCATGTTGAAACTTCATCTTCAAGGGACGTATATTAGATAGAGGGCTTGCTGAGGGGCATTTAGGGCACAAGGGCTCCACACTCATAAATGGATTCATGATGCAAGGAAAAGGGCTTGTGGAAGGTCAGCTCTCTTTTGTTCTTCTGCCTTCCACCATGTGATGACACAGCAGCAAGGCTTTCAGCAGACACCAGATATATCTTCATCTGACTTTCTGGCCAGGAATAGGAAGTTATTTGACTTTATCTAGAACAGGTTATGCATGTCAGAAGTTAGGACCTCACGGATGCTAAGCAAGCACTCCGTCGTCACTTGAGCTACATCCCCAGCCCTGACCTCTAGAACAGTAAGAAATAAGGTCTGTTCCTTATAAATTACTCAGAGTGTGGTAGCCTGTGGTATTTTCTTATAGCAGCAGAAAACAAACTAAGACAACCATCAATACATCTTCTACCCAGCTGGAGAGGCGCAATTCTGCGGTCTTTGATAGCCCTGGTATCCCCAGCTATGTACATCCTTTTCTTCTTCCATCCCCTTCCATGGGAATGTCTATTCTCCACTTTATAGTTTCCTACGTATGCATGTCTCTCTAAATAACATTTGATTGTTTTTTTAACTTTAGTGAAGACATATTGTATTTTTCTGGCTAGTTTTTTTTTGGGGGGGGGG